AAAAAAAAAAAAAAAAAAGTTGGGCTCTACACCTGTAACTACATAATACTTCATCTTCATGTTAAAGATGAATAATCTCCATATAGACCACAACTAGAAAGTGTTTATTTCACAATTTTAAGTTAAAACTCAAATGATCCATATTGAGCTATTTGATGAACAAACAAAAATGTGAACTCTAAATTCTCCTTTAATACAACCGATACCAAAACTTAAAATCCATACCAATTACATGCAGATTATATATGTGATGAACAAACAAAAATGTGAACTCGACATTCTCCTTTAATACAACCGACACCAAAACCTAAAATCCAAACCAACTACATGCAGATTCTCAGCTCAGCTCGTTTAGTAAACAAGCTTTATTAGTTATTCAAGCTCAACTAGTTTAAGTATATGAACGAGTCAAACTCGATATGAGCAAGTCGAGCTCAAGCTTTGAAAAGGTGAATCAAGTTGTGTTCCCAAACAACTCGTTCAAATAAGAGTTCACTTTTCCTTGCTTAAGAAAGAGACTGATTGGATTGATTATGTCGGACAAGGAGCCGATGCTAAACCTTCTACCTCTAGCAACCATCGATAGAACGGGAGAAAAAAATCTAGTTATGGTGGAGGTGATAAATTATATAAGATATATGTAAAACATCAGTTTGATGAAGATTGCAAGCAAAACATCCTTAACAACTGAAACTAAGTCAATCACAAGGATAGGTTTTATAATGTTACAACACGAAACATAAATATAGCACCATCTCACACATCTGTAATCTGGAAACCACAAGGCATGACTGACTGTTACGGTTTTTAGAAACTTCCGAACTAAGCAACACTCACAGGTTGGGCTGGCACCTCTCTCTGAGTTTTGCACCTAAAAATGCAGACACAAGTCACACACCCAGGAGATGTAGTGAGAAGATGAGGAAACCAGAAAATGAAAGCAAAATTCACCTAGAAAAATTTAGCTCAAATAAACGTATATTTTTACAATACCATGTCAATTCCAAAGCTTTGCAAGGTTTCTGAAGTAAATTAGAAGTGCTCAGAGTAAAATTCAGAGCAACGAGAGTGAATGAAAACATCAAAATACAATCCCACATTTTTAACACTTGCTGGGCGGATTAGTTTCCTACTTCCTTTTCAGAAGATCTTTTAGTTTTAACAATTGGAACGTGACTAATCCAACAGAACAAGCATTCAGTCCCCACCCAGGACATCATTTCCTTATAGTGTTTGTATCATAATTCAAAAGAAGAGTGTTGTGGGTATGTCAATCCTAAAAAGGAAAGATAACAGGATAATCTTAACTTTTTAGTTTCAATTCGAGACACAAGAGAATTGCCTAATCTGGTTACCTCATACTCAACAAATATTCTTTTGCGAAAACATGTACAAACAAGGCCATGAGTTTGTGTCAATAAGACAGCATATCATGTCAAAATCATTCTCCCCATTAAAATAAAATTTTCACAAATTTGACAACTACCCATGGTGAGTAACTTTACTGTCTGTTGTTACCTACCTATTACATTCTGCTCGAGAGGCATAATTGTGATTATTACAATTTGAGCACATCCAATCCCCATCACGCCATTGCTTTGCTCTGCAGAATACAACGGATGGATCTTAAAGACACAGTAACAGAAAAATCAGATGAGACATATATGCATGTTTCACTACAGATATTTCAGTCATCTCATCTTGAATATATAGAATGTGGCTGCATGTTTCTCAACGGGAAAGAAATGCATTAGATTCTGAATGAATCACGTCTATATTACATTAAGATTAATATAAGATTACCACAGAAATTATTAATTTTTTTTATATTAGAAACTATTAATTTTTACTTTTTAGTTTATCTACAGTACTTCAAAAAGGAAGGATCCTCTTTTACCCTTTTCCAAGGAGTGCATGCATTGCTTGTACACGTGGTACTTGAGGGTTGACTTGCCAATTCTGAGGGATAACTGTGTTTTCACTCCGAGTGGCTGGGTATATATTATTTAATTTACTATCTCCAGAATTTGGGGTAGACTGTAAACCTGTACATTGTTGCTCCAGCCCATACGCCTGTAAAATAATTTAATAGAGAAAATGAAAGAACCAAACTTAAATGTGGGTGGGTGTGTGTGAGCATGTGTAAGTAATGATTTTAAATATCTATTAATAGCACAATCAAAACAGGCCAAAGACCATGGACCGGCTGGCACACCAATCCATCTTGGTTTTCCTTTGCCAGTTTTAATGAGGGTAATGTTTGATGAGTTTTTTATACTCTCTTATTATAATATTCCTCTTTGCACATGCAAGGTTTATGATATTTGGAAGAGTATGGATTTAGAAAGTATCAATAATAAAAGAAGATGCATATTCTGATGATAACATGCATGAAATTCCGCATGAAAAACTTTGTCTGCAAAATAGTTTGACGTGTAATGGTAACTTGCTCTGCACTTATAATTCAATTTTGATTTCACAATGTATCCGAATGTTATATATTTGATTCCGTAGGAAATAGCATAACATGTACACTTCCAGGCAAAATGTTTGGTTTACTATGAATGATTTATGAATCACAAATACAGCTTACTAGTCGGGGTCTCAATATTCTGAATCCACACTATTGAGATTAAAAAATTGATGGTATTAAATCGGAGAACAATGGAAGAGCTTTGGATCATAAGATGGCAGGTCCAGTTTTTTTTTTTCATTTGGTAAATAAACCATTCACCTTGAATGTAACAAAATGCACCACTTCGATTATTTTACAAAAAACAAAAATGAACAATGAAGAGACAGTAACTCATGGGATAGTCCTTTTGGCCATGGCCTACAAGGACGCACCATGGACTGGGGATTTTCCAGTTCATAAAAAAACATGCTTGGCCCACTCTGGCTGTGGCAGGCCAGACCAATTTAGTTAAATATATTGATCATTCCTCAGTCAGAAGCTGAAGGTGAAATAAACCACTTACTTGTCCTGCATTCAGTCTCTTATTATCCCAGTTGTTAACAAATTCTTCGGATGCCAAGCGTTTAGTTCCAAGAGCTACAACAGATGAAAGAGCATATTACCATTAGCTTATACGGGTATTGACTTTAGACTCTTTCTAATAAAACATCATAAAATGTGGTACAAGCATATAATAGTCATGGACACCAATATTTATATAATTTGGGAACACAACACAAATGCATCTGAACACTATTCGTAACCACTCATACAGTTGGAGAAATTCCAGTAATTGGATACTGAGCCCCATACTTTATTCACTCACCCCATATTTCTGAGTATACTTTCACATGTATTACCGGCAAACAAGTGATTCCCCCTCAGAAAAACATATGGGGCCAACCCAAATGGGTGTTAGTCATGTAAAAAGAATGTTTTCGGGCAAAATAGTTGTTTCAAAAAATAAAAATAAAGGCATTTGAAGCACACCAAAATAAAAATTGGAATGGTAATAAAAGGTAAGAGTGAGTAATAAATTACGTTAGTGAGATTTGGATCAGAATCTCGTTTGTTATTCGCAGTTTAAATTACATACATTACATGTTCCTGAAATGAAAAAAGATATTCTAAGCTTCTATAATTGGGATCGTATAAAGGTTCTAATCCTTTTATTAACTTGGTACTGGCAAACATGAACAACAAACTTTTACGTAGTTTTAAGTCAAATCTGGAGATATATGTAAGAAAGAACTGAGATGAAACAGCACGAGTCTTCTCTTGTCAATTTGTATTCTCTATAACAATCAAGGAAATCCCAAAAACTAAAACAGCCCAAACTCCATCACGATGGTATTCTAGGGTACAAGATTAAATTATCAATGCTGTCATATATAAAGAATATATTATTTGTATTTATTTAAGCCAGCCTTGGAGGAATACTCAATTAAGAACAAGAAAAAGACAACATGAGTCTTCTCTTGCGATTTCTTTTCTCTATGACACTCGAGAAAACCCAATAATATCCAAAAGCAGTTCAAGTTCCTGGAAACTGCAGTCACATGTTTCGAGATCAGAACTGACTTTCTTCACCATAAAGCAGAATCCGCCACACCCTTCCACCCATTACTACATTTTCTTTCTTACATAAATTGTTTAGTTGTAAACTCAGTTGCAACAAAAAGTTATCATGCACGCTTATACTGATTCTTGAACAACAGTAACAGAAAACACTCATAAATATAATTGAAACACAAGATGTTGTCACACATGTTATACACTACATCACCTTCTCATAACTAACACAAAATCATCCATCAAGGATATTTTCACACAAGTTATTCAGAAATAGAGACACCGACATGAAATGCTAAGTTAACTTCTTACAAAATCCTGAGAACTACCACACAAAGACTATCCAAATGGATATTTTCGCACAAGTCCTCTAGAAACAGAGCAAACAACATTAGATACTAACGACCTTCCAGTTCTCTTTAAACTGAAAGCTCACCTCAGCAAGCTTCCTCCCAAGGGTCCCCCACTAGGTTGTAAATGGGAAATAACAAAAAGTATGAGAGCTAGAAAGTATAGAGAGGAGGGATTCTATAAAACCATAAATAAACAGACAAACTTCCATACTATTGAACTTTAAACAGATCTAATGAAAAGACAAACCTGCGACTGAGGGATTAAGAAGAGATGCCGGTGCTGATATTGTCGAAGGGGCATTGCACTTTTTGCACTACAAATGTGAGCAGCAAAGATAAGTAATCACAAAATATTACCATTGATGTCAATATAAAGAACTAAAAGACTATTAAGTTACATGCATTTAATACATAATTGTAAACAAATAAGAAGTAATTAAAACACAAAACACAAACGTGTAAAGAAATAAATATGGTAAAAGACGGAAAACACAGTTTGAGAACCCAAGTCCTAAAACAATTGTTGTTAGAGGAGCACAACGCAAGAGGCAAAAAGCCTCCTGAATTGGGAGACAAATGATGCTCTAACACATTCTAGATTATATATTGCCACTCAAAATAGCGGGACTTAAAATTTAAAATGGGTGACAGTATTAAACAACACAAATCAAATCTTCTCTATCTGATCACTTTACTCAAAATTTAATACAACAACAACAAATATGGTGAAAAACCTAATATACAAGATTCTAAATCCTCTATTCTAGAAAAAAGTTATCTGATAGAGAAGATTCAATTTTTTGTTAATACTGTCACCCACATTAATTTAACCGGCTACTCTAAAAGAAATTATAAACCTACACACACACTCAATAAACATACCTCCAAACGAGAAGAATAATTGTGGAAGCCACATGTGCACAACCAATCCCCAGAACGCCATTCATTACCATTTAGAACAGCAGGAAGTTGATTCATGTGGCCAGCATATGAAATTCCTGATATACCTCCATCTCCTAAGGCCCAATTAGATGATTGTTGAAGTCCATATGGATCAGTAGCAAGACTCCTGTATTGACCAGCTGCTCCACCAAGCCAGCTGGAGCCCAAAGACATTGATGATTGGAAAGATCCAACGTTCAGTAATTGTTCCATTCTTCCTTGAGCCCTGGCAAAATAAGTTGGATGAGTAGAGACAGAAGCTCCGGGGATCGCAACTGCTGGCATTGCTGCTAGCTCCTTAGGTTGGCCACACTTTTTGCACTTTTCTCTTGAGGCATAATTGTTGTTAGTGCAACCTAATGATCCATTGCGCACACACCCAACCCATAACACAGCCAGGAAGAAGATACAAGCCAAGGATACACACGCCAAGCGCCATCCAATACCAAAACACATACAGAAAAAACAAAACAACTCAACCTAAAGGTAACCAAGTTTCTTTACTAAGAAAACAGACATGCTAAATTAAGCAGCACATCAGAAAATAAACCAATTACACTTTCAGACACTCGGAATATGAGAAAAAGTTACCACACCATCAAGTTATCCAAGATTTAAGTTTGTTGATATAAACCATATAAAACCAGCAAATGCTTATCATGGCTCTTTAGTCTAAAGGTCTTCACTGGACGAGCTCTCACTATTATGTATTTTAGGTTCACTCAATTGGACATTTTTTTAGAGAAACACATGTCAAAAAATCCAAGCAACATGCGATAAAAACTAGAGTGCATGTGCACATTTCACCCCAGTATCAGATTTCAAAATAACTCAAACAAGATACTAGTTCGTCTGCAACTGGACCTATTTCCCCTCCTAGCATTTAGGTTGTAAGAACATGCTGCAATCTTGAGGAAACACTTATTTTGAGATTCACTTCTATTAAAAATTGATCATCCCTTCTAGCATTTAGAATATAACATGCTGTGGTCCTGAGAGAGAACACATATTTTGAGATTTACTTCCACTGAAAATTGATTATCGACATAGAGAAATAAGATAATAGGAATTTTCATCACCATTACCACAGGCTTAACTAAAAGCAGAAAGTGGCACATCATGCACTCGTCAAACTTTCAACCAACCATTTTACGCGTAAGAAGAATTTCAGCTCACTGTATATTACATGATTAAAAAGACGACGAAGATTAAGACAATAAAATTCATCAAAATTGAATGAGACTCAACAATACCAGTGCAGATCCAGTCACCGATTCGGGGAAGCCACTTCGAATCGGCGGGCGTTTTGGTGTCAACGAGAAGGCGGGGCTGCTTGCAACGGTTGCAAAAGGATCTAAAAGCATAGTTCCGGTTGCGGCATCCGCCGCACTCCCAGTCACCTTCTTTTCCTCCTCCGCCGCCGTTACCTCTTTCACCACCGCCGACCATCTCTCCCTCAACCTTTAATGCCCGAATCCAATCCAACAAATTGATTCAAGCCTTGCTCATTAGTTTGGGCAACGACTCGCGTTCATAGTATGACCCATGCCACAAATCTTCAAGCCTAGTAATTTGTGAGAAGTTTTGCACTTTGCACCCTCAGTATTTTGTTTCTTTGCAGTCTGCCCCTATAGTTATCAAATTCAAATTATATAAAAATCGCCAAAACTAGGCCTTATTTATATGTATATAATTACTAGCTGATGCATTTAATAAAAATATTTAATAAAATCTATTTTCAATTCCCTCCAAAAGGAGTTATATTTTTTTTAATTAATTACTCACTAATCTACTAAAACCGTTACACCTTAATATATATATTTTTATTATTTATTTTTTGGATCAGTTACTAAATAAGTTCTAAATTTAGTAGGAAAATATTCAAATGTGTAACGGCTAATGTTGGAACTTAAAGGTGATTGACACATTCAGAGTTGTAACTGTTATATTTGGTTGCATTTTTGGAAGAAGAATATGATTGGTATATTTTTTTTTCTAAAATTAATCACAAACACCAATAATTTTTTTTATTTATGTTAATTTTCTTAATATATGCCACAAATATATAAATTATTTTATTCATGTTACTAATGTAAACGTAGCTTGGTTAAAATAAAATTTAAATCTCAATTAATTTTGAATGATAACAATAACTTAAAAAAAGTAATAATTTTTATATAATAGAAGTACATGGCTAATTAGTAAATACAAACAAAAACGTGTTTTATATTTGTGCAAATGCACAGGACCAAATACTAGTTAGTCCTAAAGTTGATGGGATTGCACTATCAATTTATATCTCCTTTTGAATCTTTATTTTATTCGGATGTTTACAAAACATGATGGATTTTTTTTTTTAGTAGTCCTCCATTTACTGAAACATGAAAATTATAACATATTACAATGACATTCTTTTGTTTTGGTTGTGCCATATTCCAATTTTTCCATTTCGCTCGTGTCTTAACCTCATTTCGATCGAAGCAATCTTTACTGGTCGTCGGAATAAATAATCGACAGCTCAACGAGCGAAGAAGTGGTCGGAATAAATAATCGATAGCTCAACGAGCGAAGAAGTGATACCAGGTTTTTTCATTTTTCTGAACACGTATAACATTGTTGTGTCATATCCGATTTTCCCATTTTGATTGTGTGTGGCCTAATAGATACCCAATAGCTCAACTATTGAAGACGCGATACTTCTTGGTGGTCAGTCGTCAAGAAGCGATAGCTTGACGAGGGAAAGAAGCCATACCAGGTATTTTTTTTTTCCTCAAAACATCTAGCATATTGATGTGTCATATTTAATTTTTCTCATTTTCCGTCTTTGTTTCCTAACAGATATCCGATTGGTCAACGATTGAAGACGCTATATTCCATGGCGGTCGGACATCAAGGAGCGATAGCTCGACGAGTGAAGAAGTGATACCAAATATTTCGTTTTCTCCTGAACTTCAACCATGTAGTGTAGGAACCATTTTTTGGGGAAAATAGTGCCTTAATTTTATTCGTATACTGTAGTGCAGGTCACGTCCATTTTATAGGCCGGTAGGTGTGGTATTCATTGTATGTATGAAATAGGGTCATAGGTGTGGCTGCTCAATCCATTGTGCATTTTAGTATTATTATGTTGTAATGTTTCATGGCAGTCTTATGTTGTAGTTGTTTACAGAGTTACATATAGTATCCTCTGTAATGTTTGGTTTATAGAGTTTATTTTTTGCTTGGTTTGATGGCAGTTGTTATGGCATACTTCACTTGTCTGCAAATTTGTACACAAGTTTTGTTGTCTCCAGATGGAACATCGTACTTGTTTTTTGAATTGTTTTTTTTTTATGTTTAACACTGTATGTTCTTGGATAAGACATATATAATCTTTTGTTATTGTGGTTGTCCAATTAACCACTAGGCTCCCCAAAACATGTATGGAAGGCATCATCCCTCAAATGCAAAAACAATTTTATGACGAGTAATGGACCAAGAATGTTGATTGTTTGTTGATTTGTTGATATTAGATTGGCAAATGATAAGTTTCTTTGAAAACGTTCATAATTCAAAGAAAAATTATGTGTTTACATTAGGTGCGAATAAGCTTAATATTGAATTGGGTAAGTATTTTAGCTCTCAAGGAGTGCGAGTATAGGTTTCACCAATTTAAAAGAAGGCATAGGGTGATGTTAAAGATATAACAAAGTATGGTATCCAGTATTGTTTGAAAGTGATATTATCTACGAACCTTGTGAAGTGTAGGACATAGTATTTTGTGTATATATGCTATTTGAATTTCATTTTTGCTCCTACATTTGATTAAGCATCCACTGAGAATTGTCCTTTCTCTTACAATCATGTTTTTTCATGATATTAAAATATTTTTTGCATATCATTCATGTCAATAGGATGAACCTTTAAGTTCTGCGTATCAGGCTCTAAGAGACCCTCTTTGGAATCAATTACAAATGCTTTTTGGCTCAGTAAGAGAAAATACGATATACCCTGACCTTGAAGTTATGCCCAATAGTCTTATGGACGATAGTATGAAAGGGAAAAAGTTTGACATCCACGCTGGATGAGAGAATACGATAGACCTGAACATTTCCATGGGACTAGTTACAACAAGTCCTGCTCCCCCCAGTCCCAAGTTGTGTATGCTAGTAGTTTATTATGTGACTGAGAAAAACCTCATCCTATGTATGGTTTTAGATTCAATTGGTTTTAATTTTTCTTTAAAGGCGAACATTGTTCATTTTCACCGTCTTATATAATTTACTCGTTTTTAAACGTGAAGCATCTTTATATAATTTCCAATTTTACATTTTGTTTATACATTATGCACATTTTGTATGAACATGGTTATATTTATTGCAATGCGTTGGAATTTAAGTGTACATGATAGTTTCCATATTTGTGGGATAACACTATGTTCAGTTCAGTAGTGTTGTGCGTTCTTAGAAGCCTCATTTGAGTAGTAAATTGATGTTCAATATCATAATTCATTGAAAGTTTCCAATGATTTACCAACACTGATTTTTGGTATCATAATTCATTACACTGTCTTTTTAAATTTCATTAAAAATCTACTTGAATAAAAAAAAAGGCTCGTAGACATATGTCTTTTGGGGTCTGGCTCCCTTGTATAAAGGTTATCTCACGAGAGCGCTCTTTGCAAACGTCAGGCAGAGGCTGATAAACTAGATCTCTGGTTGGTCGCATAGCCATCTATCTTTTGGGGGTCGACTCGCACTGATCAAAAGTACCCTCAGCGCCCTTTTGGTCCATCTTCTTATGGTCCTTGACCCTCTCAAGCCCACTCTCCATGAGCTTGGTCAGATCATGGCTCATTACTTTTGGAGACATGGGAAGGGCTCCCAGCGGGGGGAGACAGCACCACTGGGTGAAGTGAAACTCCGTTTGCCGTCCTTTTTCTGAGGGAGGTCTTGGGATCCGATAGTTTTTGGACATTTTCACTGCCTTCTCTTACAAGATGTTGTGGCATTTTAGGATAGGAAAGTCGCTTAAGGCCCAGTACCTGTGGGAAAAGTACTTCCGTAGAGGTGTTTGTCACCCTTGCAGGGTGACGACAACCAATCGGGACAGTAGGCAGTGGAAGAGACTAACCAGAGCAGGTAGATGTGCTCAGGAGCACAATCTTCTGGATGTTGGATGAAGGGGATGTTTGCTTTTGGGATGATTGATGGTGGTGGGTACCCTTTCGACCACTAGACAGATCACTCACTCCCCTTCCATGTGGGTGAAGGATTTTTGGACCAATGGGATGTGAGATATGGATAACTCAAATAGGATTGTTGGTAATAGGGTGGGCCGTAGTCACCATCTTTTAGAGCTAATCTAGCAGATACCCATCTCAGAAGACAGTTTGGACAGTATGAGGTGGAGACTTACATCTTCGGGTGCTTTCTACGTCCTCAGCTTGGGAGAAAGTTCGGCAGGGTGACCAGCCTAACTGGGGTGCCCATTCATTCTAGATTAATTAGCGAATTTCTGGTTTATTCGCCTCATTTTAATTCAAGTGTTTCGCTCGGCAAATCCTCGATAAGCTTCTGTTACCCATTGGAGGCACTCGTCTAGTCAATTGTTTTAGTCGAATAATTTAGTAGATGTGGTCGTCTACATAATTACTTCCAACTCGTTAGCTTTGATTCTAGTTTTATGCAATTAATTGGATAACTTCGTCTAGTTAATTAAATGAGTCGTTTAATATATTATTTCTCGTTAATCGTTTGTCAATCATTGTTCGATTTTGTATTACTCGTCAAATCATTTGGATATTTGTCGTGCAAAGCTTACTTACGAGCCATTTTCGTTAATTCTTCGACATAGTCTCGACACAATTTTTACTTATATTTTTTCGGCTCATGTTACTCTTTCTTTTCGGTCCAAAGCCTTCGATATCTCGGCCCGAGCATACTCTATTAGCCGGCCCTTTTGTGCGATTTTATCCGATTCTTTTAACCTTGATTTTTGGCACCGTTTTTATATAAATCAAGTTTCGAATGGTTGGAGCTATATTTGGAAGTTTAAATCAACCTTTTCCCATGCTTTTGACCAACCATCAACCCATGGAGAATCAATTTGGAGTGCTTCCATTATGGTAAGTGAATCACATTAATTTTCTATTTTTATTTTAAGGAGCAAATCAAGTCCTCCTGTAACACCCCGCCTTCCATAACTAGACTTTTAAAAATCAGAGTTTAATTTTTGCTTTTTATTTTAGAAAAACGCTTAATTTTGTTTTCGAAAATGCTATAACTGCCTAGCGGGGTGCTACTCAAACTCTTTAATTACTATTCTTATCTTCTTCTTTTTTTTTCATCAAACAATAAATAATAATAATAATAATAATAATAATAATAATAATATTAATAATAATAACACATGCCACCTAACTGAATCCATATAATAAGGGTACCATAGAGATAAAGGTATTATGCATG